AACTAAGAAAACATGAATGTTGAAGGATCATATAGGTTGATATTTTCTTTCATGCGATTTTTATATCTATAGAGAATGGATGACTTATTTGTTGTATCGATATAAGATCTCGTGGATGTGCTAGCTATGGTTTTTGTTGTATAGTATTATTCTTTTTTATGGAGAATTGTTTTGGTTTTATTTTCTCTATTGCTTTTATGTTGTTGAATTTATACTTATCGGTTTTGGTTTGAAAATTTGTTCATATCTTTTTTTCCCAGGATATACATTTGGAATTGAAGAAGGTATGTTTCAAAGAGATGTGGAATTGAAGAGGTATAAATTTACACTACGGATATTGATTCACACAATTGTATAAAAGAAATTATTTTCAAAGTTTAGTAAAAGTTTATATTGCTATATTGGGTATATTATAAGGTGAATAGTAGTCTCTTGCTTTTGAATTCAACTTATAGAATTTATTTATTGGTGAACCAAACAGTTCATTTTACGTTTTCTATAATTAATGGATATTTTATTATGTTGCGGGACTCCTACCTTATGATGAATTCATATCATGTAATTTCAATCTACTTTAAAAAATATTGTCGAATGTATGTATTTATACTCTTTGAGTCGACCAAATATGTTGATAAGGTTAGACTTATTTTAAGCTGCAATTTTTTTTTGACATAACACCGAGAAGTATTTCACAATTATATAGACTGAAGTTGGGCCGGCTGTGCGTGCACAACCGAGTACTAATTTATGATGAAATTGAAGTGGGCTATGGGCAGTGCATGGCACTTTGTTTAAGGTTTTAACATTTTTTTTTTATTCTATTTATCACATATGAATATCTAATAGTGATGGGCCTGGGCCCTTTCTGTCATAATTTTGTATAATAGCAAGTGTACATATGTTTCTATTTTTTGTATAATAGTTCGCCTCGCTTTCATAAGGCGGGCGCCTCGCCACACGCCTCACGCCATGGCAAATCGGAGCCTTGTCGTCTCGGCTCGCCGCGCGCTATTTTATTCACTGGAATTTATGTTCAATGACTTAAATTATACTGATATTTTCCTTAGATATTAGTTAATATACTCGTAAATTCGTAATATTTTAGTAAATTATATAATCTTTAGATAAATATTGTTGTAATATTTATATTTTATTAATTATACTATGATAATTAAATAATTAATATGTGTAAAATAATATACCTAATTAAATTGGTAATATTAAATAATTTAAAATATTAGGAATAAAAAATATATTTTTAGAATAAAATGTAGCGCGAGTAGTTGAAGGCAAACTTGATTTTTGTATCACTCTACTCTAGAGTAGAGTAAGAAACTTTGCACTAGAGTAGAGATATATGCATATGACATTATCCTACAAAATTGTGACAATTTGACTTAATGCTAACCTGTCAATAGCTGCTGGAGAAGAGTAAAATCTTTCAGATTTTTTTTTTCAACGATACAAAGATCTCACATATATAACAATAAAGAGTACAACCCGAAAAGCTCACTAGTTCTAACAGTTCATAACACAAACTAAGGAGAACCACTTCAGTGGTGGACTACACAAACCGACACAAAACACAAACACAATATACTAAAAACAAATGCACAGATTTGAGCCTTTCAGTACAACAACCAACACATAAACTCAAATGACAAAAAAAAACAATAAACATAAGAGGTTACTGAACATAAGAACCTAGCATCTCCCAGACTTTTTGCTGACGCATTTTGTGCAGCATCAAGGTTGTGCTAAAATAACTCTTCCTCAAGATATCTTTTTTTTTTTTTTTTTA